TGATTATTATCTTTCTTGTTTTAGTTAGGAAAATTCCTGATAAGTATTTAAATCTGTTGAAATTTCTCTATCTTGGCAGGTCATCCCAAGATCATACATCGCGATATCAAAGCCTCCAATATTCTTATTGATGACAATTTTGATGCAAAGGTGGAGTACACAATTCTGCATCTCTGTGTGTATGGTGTGTACATCAATGTGGAGTTGTTTTTTAGTGTTTCTGGTAATACATGCCTTTACTTTCCACTATGATCTACTTTAAAAAGCAAGAGCTTTGTTCACGTGGAGAATGCCTGGCTACGAGGGACAGCCATCATAAATAAGAAACATATAATGTTGAGGTTAAATGAAAAGTTTTGCCCTTAAATCCTTAATGCAATGAATATATGGTGGGAAAGGAATAGGAGGTGTTTTGATGGAGAGCGGAAACATATAGCAGTTGTAAAGTATAATTGTTAAGAAAATCTGTTTCAGTGGTGTAAGGAGAGGACAGTAGAAGACTTCTCTGATGTTTTAGACTTTTCAGATTCATTGAATGAGTGTACTTAATTGCTATATGGTGATTTCTGTTATGTTGTAAATTTGTTTCGATCTTGGTTTTTGCCTTAATAATATTTTCTTAGCTTATAAAAAAAAAAGATCCTTAATGCAATGATATCCTGCCAATTAAGGCTGAGCTTTTTTCTCTCCTTTGTTTACTTCGGCACTTTGATTGACAACAGTGGATCAACTGCTGCTGAGCGTTGTTTATTATTATTGCAGTAAGATAATATTTTAACAATAGACATCAGATCATACATTGATTGGCAGCTCTGAGAACCTGATATATGCTTCTCTCTTTGAAATGTCAACATTTTGTTTGAGTACAATATTCAAATAAGAATTACGCCATTTGACACAGAAAATTGATGGAACCTGATGTAGAGCTGAAAGTATCTTCAAAGTTACATGCTGGGGAATATGGAAATTGTGCCTTTACCTGTCAAGTTGAACTACTAAATGTGAAAAATCTTCTGTGGATTTGTATTCACGATCTAAAGTGAAGAAATAATAATAAGTTCTTCTTGCTCTTTTTGCCTTCAAATTTCTTATTTCAACCTAGATTGTGCTGAATTTTAAATATTGTCAGCTGGGTTGGTTTTCTAAAGCACAGATAATCAAATGTGATCTGAGTGTTGTTAATCATGTAGCTGCTGAAGTTTAGAGCTGGGTTGCGTTAGCAGTGATAGCCTCCTTTTTTCCCCCTTTGTACTTGATAAGTTGATTGCTAGATGCATTTGTTATCTGTGCTCCAGGTGGCTGATTTCGGGCTTGCGAGGTTGAATTATGACACTGATACTCACGTCTCCACACGAGTAATGGGAACTTTTGGGTAATACTCTTGCATATCTCTTAAAGACGTTTTCTATTTCCTCGTGCAGTATTAGTTTGCAGTTACTATAGCACATCGAATCAATATTTGATCCTAATTCATTTATGGGTTAGCTTTGAACTCTCCATAGCTTTTCATTCATTAACATCTTATCTTTTGCAGGTACTTAGCTCCTGAGTATGCTCTTACTGGGAAATTGACTGACAAGTCTGATGTCTTCTCTTTTGGAGTCATGCTCTTGGAGATTATAACTGGACGACGGCCAATTGATAAAGCTCAACACTACCTTGATGATAATATTGTTGACTGGGTAAGTTTGTTTCTTGAGTGGTGCAGTAATCTGGGTCAACTAAATATTGTTCAGACATATCTCATGCGTGCGCAGCATTGTTTTCTTTTCCTCGAAACTCATGAATGGGCAGGAGGTTAATACACCACGTGCTTCCTGAGTTACGAGTTTATGCATTCTGTTCCTTGGAGTTGATTGTCCTCTTTACTTCGATATTTTGGTGAATTAGAACTTTTTGGTATATTAAATGGTCGGAGCTCTATTTTATTGTTTGTTGTGTGTTTCCATTTTGGATGAATCTATGTCAGTGTAGAGTTTTGATGTTGTTACCAGGAATTTTGCAGATACATCTTGGTTTCTCTACTATTGCTGATTCAGTGAGAAGGTGTAGCTGCACCATGCCATTAGTTTCTATATCTTATTACAACAAGATAAAGGATATCATGTTTCAGTGAAACTTAGGTTTACTTGTCAATTTAATGTGTTTACTAATCAATCTTTTCTCTTACTAATTATAGCTGCTGTTCATTTACGTCTGAGTCTATACGAAAGGCAACGGGACAGGCATCTTATTTCTACTAAGTCTATACAAAATAGAACGAGTAACTCATGCCACCTAACATTTGGCAGTAAGACATAGTTGCCAAAATTCTCTGTGAACTCTCTCCAGTCTCCACAACATCAGCCTACTTTGAAAAGTGCAGCAATAGGGCAAGTCTTCTTTAGCTACTACTTCACCGCCATTTTTTTTACGAGCCTTCTGTTTGTGGTGTTGGCATTCAGGTTTCTCTCTTACTAAACCTCTTTTTTTCTTAGCCTGCTTAGCTTTCTTTCATCTTTCTACTCCATCAAGCTGGGACTTTGTCTTGCATATTGACCAGAGACTGTAACTCTCTTCCCATCAAACTGGCATGTTGGTGGATTAGAATTTGACCGATCTTCCACCTCGTTTCCTAACGCAAATTGGTAGCAGTGCTTGCCGTTATATTATCTGCACTTAGTTGTAAACAAAAGTATCATGATGATATCCTTTCACTGGTGCACTTGTTATAAAGGACTGTTCAGTCTTTTTGTTTATTATTTGTAACCGTCAAGATGATCAAGAGCATCCATGTTCTTCTACTTCCTGCTCCCCATCCCCTACTGAATATAAAAGCAAAATAACTAGTTCCTTGAAAAAGTAACAATTTTCTCATGAAATTAGGCGAGGCCTTTGCTTACCCAGGCCCTGGATGATGGCAACTTTGATACTCTAGCCGATCCAAGGTTGGAGAAGAATTATGACTCTACTGAGATGACCCGCATGGTTACTTGTGCTGCTGTTTGTGTGCGCCATCTGGCACGTCGCAGGCCTCGTATGAGTCAGGTATCTTCTGCTTCTTCTGCAAGCTCAGTTTTATACATCCACTATAGCATCCTCATTAACTTTTAAGAGTCGCATGCATTCTGCTTCAGCTTGCATCAAGCTTAGCGGAAGCTTTGATTATACAACTGAAATAATTTGGAATCTGTCATCATCTTTTTTGAACAAGGTGGTTACACTATATTCGAGTATTTAGGAAGCATATGAAATACCAGTTCTTCTTGTTAGTTCCAGAAATACAGTTTGGCTATATTTTCTAATATAAATTAAGCCAAAGTAAATCTTTATACTTGATTTTTGAGATCTCAACTTGAAAACTTAGTCTTCCTCTCTCCTCATCTACTCTTCTTTTCGAATGGCTTTTGCCTTTAAATTTCATGCTTACCGTTTTTTTTTGGGTATCTTGTAAATACTGTCAAAGAAGAATTGTCTTGGCTTAATATTCAAAGGTAATATTTTCTTATGCAGATTGTCAGAGCTTTAGAAGGAAATTTGCCGTTGGATGATTTAAATGAAGGACTTAGACCTGGACATAGTGGTATATATGAATCTTATGGGAGCTCGGATTTCGACTCTGCTCAGTACAAGGAAGACCTTAAGAAATTTAGAAAGATGGCACTAGAAAGCCAGGCGCAGAACTCGAGTGAATGCAGTGGACCTACCAGTGAATTCGGCCCACATCCCTCTGGTTCAAGTAGTGAAGGCCTAAGAACAACTCAAAATACACGCCCTAGTATTGATGGTCGACGAGATATTAGAATAGAGTAGAAGGCAAACAGAAAAGAGTGAATTTTTCGGTTAGAAAAGGAGCAATGTGATGAACTCTTATCAGAAATTTGTTGGATGTGGTAGTTCGGTTAGAGAATTGTTTGAATTTGGCATACCTTTTATATGCCATTGCTCTTTGTAATTATCAATTGATCTAGGTACTACTGCAAATTTTTTATTGTTACATGTAAAGATAGAATGACTTCAGGTAGTCTTGAGAACTTTCACTAGGTGAAAGTGTTAACCATTATTAAAAGCGTGGTCTTTATAAGCCGGTAGTTACAGTTAAATGTGACCCTTGAAACTGTGTCCATTGGCAAAGGGTTTGGAGTTAATTGGAGCACAGCTATTTTGACTATACTTTCATGTAGGAATATAAAATGAAGCAGTTGGCTTGGTTTCATGTTGTTTTGACCTGCTCTATTTTGTCCTATGCACTATTGTCCAAACAGTAGTAATCTGGACCCGAATTCATGGCCATTGTGATGTACAGGTAATATTCAAATTTCAAAAAACGTGATTGTTATCATTCTTGTCGTTATCTTGTTGCCACAATTATGCCACTGAAGTAAGTTTTTAGCTTGAAGACTCCGCCTTTCTCTATTTTTATTCAATTATTATGCTAAAAAGACATCAACTTATATTATTACACCAATGAGCATTCCGTTTTAAGAAATAAGTACAATTTCCCCCTCATTTCTATAATGAAAGATTATTTTGCTTTTATATGGTTTTTTTTGTACTGTTCCTTCTTGTCTATATTTTCATTAATGTAGTGCTTATGCTTTCCTGAGCCGCAGCTTCTCTATCCTCACAAGGTAGGGTAAGATCTGCATACACACTGCCCTTCCTTTAGCCCACGGTGTGGAAAAATACTGAGTATGTTGCTTTAGCCCACGGTGTGGAAAAATACCGGGTATGTTGTTGTTGTTGTTCTAGGATGAAAGATTGGAAGTATATGGTTTTCAACACTAGTATTTTTTTCCTGCAGGAAACACTTGATTTTTTTCTTTTTAGAAAAATTAATTGTAAGTATTAAATTTTACTGATTTTTTTATAAAAAATTATAACTAAAAGAACATTTGAAATGGATCATTAAACCGATCTATAGTGAGCTAGCATGGGAACAAAAGACCATGGATGTAAATCTATTGGGTCAGGTTATTAAAAGAAAAAAGTTTTGGGGTGTAATTAGCCTTGAGTAAAAGTTCTGGGTAAACACAGAATACGAATAAAGAAGAATATTCGATTTACAAGCGCAATCCTCGCTGTAATAGTGATGTAACGATTGAGTTTCTGAATCATTAGAGTTGGCACTTTAGCACTCAAAAAATTTACATTTGTTTTTTCTTAACCTTGTTCTTGTCTACCGTTTAAACTAATCATAGAAACCAGGAGAATTCATTTGTGTCCACCCAATCCCTCCCCTTCTCTCTGTCTACATAGTTGATCCTACCAAGACGTTCATCTTCTCAAAATTCAATCCAATATCTCTGTTTTTTTTAATTGAATTTTTAATCTCCACATTTTTAGATTAAAAAAGAAATTATGGCTTCTCGAAGGCGGATGCTTCTCAAGGTCATAATCCTCGGTGATAGCGGGTTAGTATTTCCTAAATTCTCATCTTACATATTTTCCGATCTCATTATCACTTTTCCTATAATTTTTGGATTTTTTTTTTTATTTCCGAATTGAAGCCCAATTCCATGGTTGTTGACTTGTTTCCCTTGGATTCGGTTTCTTTAAATTTATTGTAAAAGAATCTGGGAGCTTCAGATTGTTGTTAACGTTGTATAGCAGCAGAGTTTGCCTTTTACTTTGACTGATAAAAAATGAGACCCCTTTTGATTTTATAGTAACAGTGTGTAGCTTGAAAATAGTTTGTTTGAAGTTGTAATTATTGAAGTGTGACTATCTCACATAAACGCTAAAGCTGTTAGAGAGAACACATTTTTATTTACTTAATTATGTTTTAACACGCCTCTCATGTGTGGGCTTGATTTCTTTCGATGAGCCAAGCACGCGGAAATTCTTTTTGCTGCTGAGACTCGAACTCGAACTCATGACCTTAGCCTGTTCTAATACCATATTGAAGTTTATTCTCTCTAACAACTTAAGCTTTTAGATGAGATCAAAAGTAATCAAAAAACTATTAGTACGGAGTATGATATATTGACATCATTGCATTTCTAAGTTTCTTTGATTTCTATTCCTGTTTGATTTGAACTTTTCTTAGTAGACCTCTTCATGAAGCCTTAAATTACTAATGTGCAATAAATTCATGAGTTTAATGTATGCTAGTTTATCATCTAAAGTTTATTACAAACTCACTTTTTATCCTTTTGTAGGGTGGGGAAGACATCTCTGATGAACCAGTACTCTCGAATTTCTCTCTGTTGAATTGTAAAGTAAATATTCTTCATTTTCCTTTTCTGGATTTCTTCTTACTATATACTTTTCTCTATAATTACTTTTAGGTATGTGAATCGCAAGTTTAGCAACCAATACAAAGCCACAATTGGAGCTGATTTCTTGACAAAAGAAGTTCAATTTGAGGATAGGTTATACACATTACAGGTTAGATTCAAGACACAGGAGCATCCAATAAAATATTCCCAGTCTTCTTGTATTCCGTGAAACTGCTTTCTCCTTGTTTAGTACTCATTACTCATTAGCACTACTTTCCAATCTAATAATTCTCACGACTTACATTTCTATCAACAAACACATGTGTCAACATGTGATTAAATTACAGTAGAGTAGTGCCTGCGAAAAGTTGCTGTGCTTATTCGCTAGAAAAGGGACATGGTTTGGATGTGTTAAATCACGTATGTCCCCTTCTAGACTGACCATTAACTCTGCAGCTTTAATGCATATTTTGTATTGACCAACAATGCCAAGGTTGCTTATCCTAGCAGTATCTCCATAGCAAGCGTCTTACTTTAAGAAGTAGTTTGCGACAGAGTTCCTCTTGCTTTTCAGTTAAATATCCATATTGTGTAATAACGATAACATGATTTATTTCTCATAGGATACTGTTGTTTTCTGCACTAAGACAAGTCCGCTGATTTCATTTTAGGAGTTTAATGTGATATCTTTGAATGTGTTTGTGTCACATTTTCTGTAGCTTCGTACTCCCAAGTCCCAATTCTACGTTTTGCCTTTCAAATGGGAAGAACTTAGCTTCATATTTCAGGATTTGTAGAACTCTAGGGAATGACAAAAGTTCTTCAATGGTATCCTCATCCTGAACTGGGGTGTTTTATACTCAAAATGGAATGCCTCTCAAGATTGAACAAATTATTGAGTCACCTAACAGGATTTTGGAGGCTGTTGGCAGTAAAAACAACTCTTGAGTTCTTTTATTTCCTTTATTCCCATCTTTTCTCTATCCACACACGTTACACCAATAATCCAGAGGCTTTGCTTTAAAAGCAATAGATCAAGAAAGATGCAGCGAAAATATTTGATGCATTAGCTCAAAGGAAAAAAATCTATTCTTGATAAATCTATTTATCATTTACCACATCCAGTGTCATAGGTGAGTTTGAAATCTAGCAATGTATTTGTTTTGCAAACTCTAATTATAGACAAGCTTAATGCACATTAATAACCTTCTTCCTTGAGCAATATTTGTCAAAGCCAATAAAATTTTCATGTAGTCTGTAGTGTAATTATATCCGTTTCGAACAAACAGTTCTTCAACTATACTGGAAATTAGCACTCCTAAATTCATGGTTTTCAGGTTTAATTGATTTAATGACTTGGCAGATTGAATATTTGGTACTTTAATGACTTGACAGATTGAATATATGGTACTTTAATGACTTGACAGATTGAAATATATGGTACTTTAATGATTGACACGTTGAAATATATGGTACTTAAGTGATATGGCTGGAAATCGGAAATCCTGAATACTTTTGCAGAATTGCTGACACATTTCCCTTCTAATCTACTGGGCTTCATTGTTTTTGCCTTAGATATGGGATACGGCTGGGCAGGAAAGGTTCCAAAGCCTTGGTGTGGCTTTCTACCGTGGAGCAGATTGTTGTGTTCTAGTGTATGATGTGAATGTAATGAAGTCATTTGAGAACCTTAACAACTGGAGAGAGGAATTCTTGATCCAGGTAGTATAACCTGTAATTTGGCTGCAGCTGCAAGCTCTGACGTGTAGAATTGATTTCTGAGAAGTTCTTTCCTTAATGTTCAGGCCAGCCCATCTGATCCTGAGAACTTTCCATTTGTTGTATTGGGGAATAAGATAGATGTTGATGGTGGCAACAGTCGAGTGGTTAGTCAACTTCTCTCCTGATAAATCTTCCTCACTGAGTGATGCTCTAACTGACTTTGGCATCTTTGGGCGGCGCGTAGATGGATGGTTCATTGCTGTCATAAAATTGGTTGTGTGGATTGCAGGTTTCTGAGAAGAAAGCCAAGGCATGGTGTGCCTCCAAGGGGATACCTTACTTTGAGACCTCCGCAAAGGAGGGATTCAATGTGGATGCAGCTTTCCAATGTATAGCCAAAAATGCTCTGAAAAATGAGCCTGAAGAAGAAATGTGAGTACTCCCCTTCCAATTAGGATGTCTAGTTTACCAAATCATGTAGGTAGGGGATGCATTCAGCATGCCATATTGTCAAATATTTTGAACCCTAGTTGGTTCTTAAGCGCCTGGCTTATGACTAAAGGAAACAAAAAGTGCTTTATTCTTTTCGAAGTGGAAGTGTCTGAAGCGCTATTTTTAAAAGAATCAATGTCGTTTAAGCTAGAGATGATCTCAGAAATCCGAGGAGTCCTGATCTTGATAGATATGCTTGATGAAGATAAGTTAAAACAGGGACCTTGAGAAAAAAGAAGATTAGTTAAAACAAGGACCTTGAAATTACTTATTCGGTTCCAATTTGATTGTGCTATTTCACATGTAGAGGTAATCTGACGGAATCCATTTTGAAATTGGAAATATATTAACATGTCTATAATAAAAGTAGAATTCTGAAAATCATCTGAGAGACACAGTGAAGTTGCCAATATTTGCATCTCAAAACCCTTTAAGATCTCAAGGATTTTGGTTGAAGTTAATTGCTCTTTTTATCTTTTACCTTGTAGATACCTTCCGGATACTATCGATGTTGCTGGCGGAAATCAATCAAGATCAACAGGATGTGAATGTTGAAGGGTTTCTTTGGTTGCAAGTGCAAGTTCCCTTTGTTTGAATCATCTGATATTTATTTACTACAACACCGTTAAATCCTCTGTATTTGATTTGAGATCTGGATTACTCCTAAACTGTAATTATGACGTTGCACCTTAAATTTTTTCCCCTCTCCTTGGATACATGATAATATACTATTCATGATCCATACACTTGACTACATGTTTTAAAAACAATTGCCCTTTTTCAGAGATAGCAAGAAATTGCTCTGAGCTTTATTGCACTGTGAATGCATTTGTGAAAAGCAGTGCTTACTTAGATTGTTTGATACTCTGTATATGACCTGGCAACTAGGGGGTGTCAATGGATATTTAAAAATCGACTAAACCGACCGAACCATACCATACCGAACCGATTTTTAGGTTTCTTTTAATAAAACCGTAGGTTTTTATATAAATCTATAACTGTATTGATAATTAGGGTAGGTTTTTTTATTTTATGAAAATAAACCGAAAGAATATCGAACCGTACCGAATAAATTTATAGTGTGAAAATATATTTATATATTAAGTTTAAAAATAATAAAGTATTGAATTTTTTTCTTGGGCCTTGGAATTATGAAACAGCTACAAGTCAACAAGTAATTAAACTCAAAGTCCTAATTCCCAAACCAATTATGCTACTTTATTGAAACTAGATTATTTCTGGCATATTCACTAGCAAGACACAAGGTATTGTAGCGATTATGTGTAGCAAACTACAATGTATTGAATGTTTCCTTTCATATGATTTTGATTTATCTTTTTGAATGTTTAATCTTCTATAGACTTTATTCTTGAATCCCAACTTGGTTAATATCTTTCCACTCGTGTGATTAATATTTTTTCGTATTTGCTTAGTTTCTTTTACAATGTTGTAGAATAGTTGATGGATCTATACTCTAGCCATCTTTCATATTTTTCGCTTAGTTTCTTTTACGATATTGTAGAATAGTTGATGGATCTATACTCTAGCCATCTTTCATATTTTCTTAATTATCCACCTTTTAAACCGTAAAAATGTCTAGAGAGTTTTGCTAAGTCCTATAAAAGTATGTATGTTATTGCATTCTACTTCTACTAGTGATTTTACATGACATTTAAAACAATTACCGAAAATTAACCGAACCGTACTGATACCGAGAGAAACCGACATGATTGAGACGATTTTGAAAAGTCTAATTTTATATATAATAGAATAACCGAAAAATTAGTATGGTATAAATTTTATAAAATAATCGGCCTAACCGAACCATTGACATCCCTACCGGCAACCGTCCTATTTGAAACGAGGATCAGAGAAAGAATATTTAATTGGTTCACGCAAATGTAAAATGATCATCCATTTGGCATGGGTATTTCTTGCATAATTCAAATTAGTTGCGTAAGCCTTTTACTAAGACGCAACTTGTGGAAGTTCTAAAGATTCCTTAATTTGTTTTCTAAGCATGTGAGAGTCGTGGTTTAGTAAATGTTGCTCTGAGATGTTTGAACACCGAGGTATTTCGTGGTCATATATGACCGAAGCTAGCTCCAACGGACAAGACAAATTGATAAAAATTGCACGGGGCGCCCTATTTGGTCGCTCCCATTTAATATATATCCATTTTTTTAAAAAAATTTTAACTTGTACCCACTTTTTAAACAACTTCAGCTCCCTTTCTCCTCCTTCCTTCGTTTTCTTCTTCTTCTTCTTCTTTTTTCTTCTGTTGCTGTTGGTGCTGCTATGAAACTTCAGTTCATGAGATGATTGCCATAAGTATGTTTATCAGATTATTTAAAAACAAATTATAAATAATTACGTAAGTTAGTAGACAATAATTTGTGAATATTTCCACGTACGGGAAGTTCACACTTAGTGATTCTTTTCATGATAATTCTGTTCTTTTCACGTTTATTGTTTTCAAAATTTATGGTTTAGATACTGTTGGCAATCTGATTATTTTATAGTAGTAATACACTATGAAAGAATAAGGTGATTATTTATCTAGTATGTTAGAAAGCTTTTTCAAAAACTTTAGCTTATATAGTGTTGAAGTTTTTTCAAATGAACTAAATAACTTCAGCATCTTCTGCTTAAGTTTTTGAAAAAGCTTTATGACAAAACTAATGAATCCAAGACAAAAAAACTTCAGCTTATTGAGTGCTGAAGTTTTTACAAATGAACTAAATAACTTTAGCATCTTCTGTTGAAGTTTTTGAAAAAGCTTAATGACAAAACTAATGAATCAAGGACAAAAAAACTTCAGCTTATTTAGTGCTGAAGTTTTTACAAATGAACAAAATAACTTCAGCATCACAAAACTTCAGCTACTAGAATGCTTAAGTTCAGCAATTACAAATAAAAACTTCAGCAAATAGAGAACAAAACTTCAGCACTAGAATGCTTAAGTTCAGCAATTACAAACAAAAACTTCAGTACACTTGATTCAGCAATTTTTGCTACTTCAGGTCCGTCTACTAGAATGCTGAAGTTTGCGTGATTGTCTTTGCTACTTCAGGCCCGTATGCTGAAGTTACGCGAAAAAGTGGGTACGCTTGCAATTTTTTTTTGCAAAGCGGGTACAAGTTAAAACGTGACCCAAAAAGCGGGTATAGATGCAAATGCTCCTTTCTCCTTGATGAGTAATTTCACGAACACCTCCTGTATGTTTCTAAAAGAGAAATTTCTAGAAACCACTATGTTTTAGTGACTATTAGCTTGCTATAGCTACCATTTACTAAATTACTTTCTATAGTTATGTTTTCAGTTGTTATAAACTGTATTCGATGTATTTTTGCTACTGTATTTATGAATACAGTAGCAAAATTCGGCGGAAAACAGGGGAGTCCAGCTAAGCAGAGAATGTATTCGACTGTATTCGTGAATACAATAACGAAATTTGCAGAAAAAAAGTTCTTCAGCTGTTTAAAAATGGTAAGTGAATCAATTAACGCGATAGACTCCTAATATAACTCAACACACACAATTATAACTAGGGGTGTCAATGGATATTTAAAAACCGACTAAACCGACCGAACCGTACCATACCGAACCGATTTTTAGGTTTCTTTTAATAAAACCATAGGTTTTTATATAAATCTATAACCGAACCGATAATTAGGGTAGGGTTTTTATTTTATGAAAATAAATCGAAAAAATACCAAACCGTGCCTAATAAATTTACAATGTGAAAATATATTTATCTATTAAGTTTAAAAATAATATAGCATTAAATTTTTTCTGGGGCATTGGAATTATGAAATAGTTACAAGCCAACAAGTAAATAAACTTAAAATTCTAATTCCCAAACTTATTATGCTACTCCTATTGAAACTAAATTATTTCCAGCATATTCACTAGCAAAACACAAGGTATTGTAGCGATTATGAGTAGCAAACTACAATGTAATGAATATGTTTCCTTTCGTATGATTTAGATTTATCTTTTTGAATATTTAATCTTCTATAGACTTTATTCTTGAGACCCAGCTTGGTTAATATCTTTCCACTCATGTGATTTATATTTTTTTGTATTTGCTTAGTTTCTTTTACGCTGATGTAGAATAGTTGATGGATCTATACTCTACCATTTTTTATATTTTCTTAATTTATCACCTTTTAAACTGTAAAAATGCCTAGAGAGTTTTGCTAAGTCCTATAAAAGTACGTATGTTATTGCATTCTACTTCTACTAGTGATTTTTACATGACATTTAAAAAAATTACCGGATATTTACCAAACCGTACCGATACCGAGGAGAAACCGACATGATTGGGACGGTTTCGAAAAGTCTAATTTTTATTATACATAATAGAATAACCGAAAAATTGGTATGATACAAATTTTATAAAATAACCGGCCGAACCGAACCATTAACACCCCTAATTATAATACAAACAATTTGTATTTCCAGTTATAGAAAAGATTCTCAACCGAAAAACACCCTAATCTTCAAAAATTCAATCCATCCTTTCTTTTTTTTAGTGGTATCTTTACTAAAATATTTTTTAGTGGTATCTTTACAAATAGATTTATATATTGAAATTATATAATTACATTGAATGCAGTTAAATACATAAAAATTCATTGAATACATGAAGTATAACAGGTCATCTATAGTGCAAATACATATGAATGCATACTTCAAATACATTTGAATACATATATACATCTGAATACATAAATTATATTAATTAAAAAAATATATGAATACATTCTACAATACATTGAATACATACTGCTGGACAAGCAGTGAAACAAAGTGAAGCTTTGAAATTATATAATTACATTGAATAGAATTAAATACAGTGAATATATTGAAAAAGTAGAAAAAACTAAAGACAGTGAATACACTGAAATATATGAAATACAGTGAGATACATTGAAATACAATGAAATAAAAGGTAACAATCTCTTCAAGTTCCTCAGCCCCAAACTCCATCCCCAATCCACTAATATCCAGGCCACCGCTACGTGGAGCGTCGCCGCCGGTTAAATGAAGACAATTGTTGAAGAAGCAACAATTTAAAGAATCAAACGAAAACTAGAGACAGAACTTCTTCAGATCTCACAAGGCAAACATGAACAATCAATGCAAAATCTAAGAAAAATTTAGAATGTGTAACGCAACTGTGTGAAAGAAATCGCCGGCCGGAGGAGGGGGTTAGGGGTGACACAACAAGGAAGGAGGAAATGTTCGCCGGCCGGATCTGTCATTGGTGGAACACAGCCCCTACTAGGGTTTCTAAAAGCAAGGAAAGAAAAAATCGGGAAAAAAGAGAAGAAAGAGGAAAGAGAAAGGAGGAGATAGGGAGAGAGAAAAATAATACACATTGTATCTAATGGCTTAAAGGTAGGAAGTGGTCATAAATAGATATTTTGCTATAAAAATTAAAAGATAGCTATAAGAGATAATTTTTTAAAAGGGTATTTATTTATAATAAATAAGGTATCAAGCTTTGCTATAGGAGGTAAAATTTCCTTTCTAGAATCATGAAACTTGCCCAACTTGAATATTTGTGTTGCAGTTCCAGATCTGCCTTTTATCTTTTTTATTCTGAGTGGTGTATAGGTCCAAATTTGACAACCACGATCACTACTAAGTACGACGAGGAACGAGGTCATCATGGTGTAGCGTCCCATGGTCGTTGTGATAAAAGGCAGTGACCAAGAGTGGTTAGTTAACGCACGATGTCTGCAGTAGTGTAAGCTTAGTAGGAGACAGTAGGGATATGATTTTCGAATATCCTTTATGTTGTACCTT